AGAATATCTCTTTGGTTTTGAGACTTTAGTCTTTGCAACTTCAGGGATCTTATCTATGCACAATCAGCTTGTAACACTCCAAAGAGAAAGGAAAACTTGAAATCGCATCATATGACCCCTTTAATATGAAATGTACATAAGTGTTGATGTGTTGTAACTGTCAATGAAAATATGAACTTTTCTAATTTGTTAACAGGATCTTTTTAAAAGTTCTCATGTAATTACATTATATTTTTTATATTTAAAAAAATAAATAATATAAAATTAGATATAAGGTACAAGGAAATTTTGCCATTTGTTTAAATGTATTTACAGTTCTATCAAATGAGTGAAAAACATTGTACCCTTCCTATACCTTCACAGTACAACTACATTCAGCAGAAAAGTGAAGAACTGGCTTTGAACAACCAAGAACTGAAGGAGAAGAGGAAGAAGAATGCTGCCAAGAGGAAGAGTAAAGACATAGAAGCTGAGGGGGAGAATGAGCTTGAAGACAGAACAAAATAAATGTACAAATCCTCATTAATTGACATTTGAGTTTTACAGAGTACTTGGTTTTTGCATGTAGTAATAAAACAGCTGTGCATATATTTGTACATAAATCACATTCAATACTAAACACCAATAATTTTTTTTACTCAAACATGGGTTCATTTGTGTTTTATTGTAATAAAGAATTCTGTAAACATCTCTTTGTTGGGAATATGAAGCTCTATGAAACAATACAGATTTTTAAATCATACATTATAAAAACATGGACCTGCAGAAGAAAGAAAAAAAAAGACTTTAACCTGCATATGGCTGCATTTAAATACGACGAGCTGCTTTCTCGAAACCAGATCAAGCTTAATACAGATTGAAATGTATTGGGCTTGAACGGTTCTGAAAAAAGCGCTCATCCTGAAGCATGTATTAAATTCTGCTAGAGTCTACCGTGTCCATGGCTGTTACCAGAGATGCAGAACCACAGCATCCTCCATCTTCCTCCATCCCCAAACGGACTTCCCGCCTGGGGTTCAGTTGCAGCCAGCCATATTCCAGACCCCTAAATGTGTGAATTCAATTAGTTGTGTGGTATTTGCTCTCAAACATCACGTGACAAACCAGTATGAGAAAAGAGCAATCTATTCAAATTAGTTTTATTGAAGCACTCCCTTCATTTGACAAGTCATATAAAATGCCTTTGAAAACACTTGAGCGATGTCATCTAGAGGGAAACTCCACAGACATCCACAGCACTCAACATACAGGTCGCACTTACACCATCACTCATGTTTTCCCCCCTCAGTGTCCACTGAAGATGTCATCCACATCAAAGTTCACACTTACAGGTCAAGTTACAAGGAAATAAAGCACACACACCATACAGCATTCAGATGGGATTATAGAAGCAAGACAAAGTATGCATCATCAACATCACAACACTCCACTAACTAAGCACATTGTCAGTATACTAAAGGAGAAAAGCAAAACGGGGGATCTAGGGAGACCAAAAAAAAAAAAATCCATGAGGTACATGTATTAAATGTCCATCAATTTGGGCTCAATTAAGGGGGAAGCTGGGAAGTATCAGCAGCTCTCATTCACACGCTCACCAAACCCACCCACTGCAGTCACATTTCGGCTCGTTCATCGCACTCGCAAGTCTTTTCGTTCGTGCGCTCCACACTTTCTTCGCTCACTCGCAGCCTTCTCACTCTTCGCCATCATCACCAATCGCACTCAAGGGTTGTTTAAAAAAACATCACTTTCTGCGCACTTGTCTTAAAGTGGATTAAAAAAAGAAGACACCCACCGTGTCATCGAGCCGTGCGATGGGAGCATATAGACATGGGAGGAAGGTGACATAATGACCTCAGCCACACTGTGCTGCCATAGAGGGCGCTCTTCCCAGGCAAACCCCACAGATGTCAACTGCAGAAGAGATTTTGATGAAGGCTTGTTTTAAAGGGTTTCCATAAAACTGGACTGAAATAAAACTGAACTTATAATATGTTTAGGTTTCAACCAGATTCTTTTCAATGCAAGTGTGTTTTTTTTTGGCCTACATAATGATAAATGTACATAAAATATGATGCAATTCTCATGCGTTTTCAGATATCCACAGATTGAACAACATGCATTATAAGAATCCAGTTGAAATGCTTTGTTTGCATCGATCAAGACAATACAACATTAGGGAGGAAAAAAAACATCTCCAAAGATGGTACATTAACGTAGCAAACACTAACTCAAATCCCATTCAGTGTACAAAACATTCTTCGTTTTTTTTGTCCCCAGAATCCCTTTTCACCCATCCCCACTCCCAAACACACGTGACGAGATAAGTCTCTCTGAAAATACTTACCAAACACGCTAGAAATACCGACACTTCAAACACAAACCGGCTTACATACCCCACCCTGACGACTTGGACTCCATACTAGAGCCAAAGCTGGAGTTAAACCCACTACCGCTAGAGTTAGAGCCGGAGCCCCAGCCGAGAGCGGCCGAGCTGCTACCGTAGTTGCTATTGCCCGAGCTGTATGTTTGGGTCTGGTCCCGAGTGGAACTCGTGCCGCTTGTGCTCGTGCCAGATGTTGCCGACTGACCCTGCTGCGCTAACATTCCCATCATACCCCAACTGCTCTGCAGGGCGGCCTGGGCGGCAGCCATCATAGCTGGGTTGAGGTTAAAATTGCCGAAATTTCCCAAGCTGCTGGAGCTACCCCCCATGCTGCTACGGTTGCCTCCGAAACCCTGACCTCCGAACCCGTTCCCAAAGCGCCCTGCCCGCTCCATCATCTGCCTAGTGTTGTTGTGCTTTGGCTCAGCGTTGGAGATGTGCACGCTGATGCCCTTGATGATCAGATCTTCTCCGCAAAGGGAGGCAGCAACCTGGGGAAACATAGAAAATCTTAATTATGCATGAACAGCTGATTTCTCCATCCAGAGTAGAATATTAAACACAATAAATTCCTGAAAGCTGCAAATGTAAAGGCAAACTCTCATATCAAGAAAAAAATAATCACCACAAACAAGACCTTTAATTGAGCATATTCAAACAAAGAGCAAATTCAACTTGTCATATGGGCTGTATCTCACATTAAAGGGGTCAATATGTCATTAATTTGGTGTAATGCAATGTGTTTATGCGGTTTAAGGTTCAAAAAACACATTTTCCACATACTGTACATTATTGTTTCTCCTCTATGCCCCGCCTTTCTGAAACGCATCGATTTTTACAAAGCTCATCGTTGTGAAAAGCGAGGTTTACGCTGATTGGCCAGCTATCCAGTGCGTTGTGATTGGTTGAATACCTCAATCGTGTGACGGAAATGTTACGCCCCTACCATACTGTGATGGAGCGACGAGACAAA